CGGGGGGAGGTGGGCGAGGGTGGGAAGCCGCTCACGCGTGGATCTTGCCGTTGTAGTACTGGGTGTCCATGATGATGACGAGGTGAGCAGAGATGTTCATGCCCCAGCAGAGGCTGCGGGAGGCCACCATCACCTGGACTGCACCTGAAAGGTGCCCGGGGAGAGGGGTCAGGGTCTGATCCCCTCCCTCTGGGGCACAAAACTCATCAGAGGATGAGCAGCTGGGGGGGTGGTGAGGTCCAGGGGGGCCGGTGCAGATCGCAGCCTTTTGGCACCCAGGGAGCAGAGAAGCGACCCGAGGCTTGGCCGAGCTGTCACCTCCACTCCAAAGGCCTTGGGCACTGCCAAGCCTGAGGAGAAAGCAGCAGAAATGGTGTCCCCCCAGCCCAACCAGCTCACCAGAGCTGAAGAGCTGCTCCACCACCCGCCGTTCCATGGGGGTCAGCCCCTCGTGCAGGTAGCCCACGCCGTTCACCAACGTCTCCTTCAGGGTGTTGTCGTTGAGCTTGTCCAGGTAGGGCACCAGATCCTTCTCTGCACAGTGCAGGAACCTGCCAGAGAAGGGGCTCAAAGAACCTGCCCCTCCCCTCTTGGGTGGCCCAGCAGATGCCTTGAGCGACTGTGGGCCCAGCAGATGCCTTGAGCGACACCTTCCCCAGCCCCCCTTCCCAGCACCCAGTTTTGTCCCCACGGCGCAGCAACCAGGCCCAAAATCTTGTCCCTGGCTGTGTGGGAGGGGAGGGATGGAGGCCACGGTGGTGTCACCTTTGCCTCTGGACATCTGAGGCACACGTGGTGAGGATGTTGATGGCCGTGAGCCTCGTCTGCTTGCGGGAGGGGACGAAGACAATGACTGGCTTCTTGGGGGAGTGCTTCATGATGGCGTGGTAGACAGGCTTGGCCATGGAGAGCAGGCGAGTCTGCGTGTGGCTGATGTTGAAACCCTGCAGAGGAAGAGGAGGAGAGGGGGAAGGATTCTGCCTGAACACCTGGGCGGAAGGGAAAGGAGAGGGGGAGGTTGGCTCCAATCCTCACCTGAATGTGCAGCTCCAGGGGCACGGGGCGGACGTTGGGGTGGAAGTTGAAGGTGGAGGTGGCACTGCAGCCCAGCCAGTGGGCCACGTCCTTGGCGTTGGAGAGGGAGGAGCTGAGGGCCACGATGCGGATGGGCCGCTCGATCTGCGAGGAGATGTAGCGCATGCGGGAGCAGATGACCTCCAGCACCGGCTGCCGGGGGGGGAGCAAGACAGCTTACCGCAGGACAAACACG